TTCTCAGTGGGTACCTTTCCAAGGAAAGCAGTAACTTTATTGTGAAAAATATAAACATGAATTTGGAGACGTAAATTACATGCATATTATCATCTTGTTTATAAACATGGAAGGTTTTCAAAATGTAAATATAATCACAGTCAGCACACAACTGCAGCTGAAACCAGGTTTGAGAAAGACCTCAAGAAGGTAAAAGGTTCCCCAGATCCCCCAACCCCAACCCTATCGATCTACCTACCCTTTCTGTATATTTGGAGAAGATGAGGTGGAATTCCATCCTCCTCATTCTAAGGACACAAACCCTTATCCCTTATTTTCTAATGTCACAAATGGGTAGTAGATTTGACTTTTTTTCTCTACTTCCCCTCTCCTCTCTTCCCCCTTTGGTCTACACGTGTGGTGTTGGAGATTAGCTAGTGAGAGGCAATGGTCAAGCATTGAGTAATCTGCCACATGGAAAGGAGAAGGAAATTTACCTCAATACTGTCTGCATTTTTGGATTTTCATGCTGTGATCATGCAAGTTACCTCAACATGAGCCAGCTCTAGGGATTGAGCTGAGGGAGACAGCATGAGATAAGTACAGAACTCAGCGAGCTGGTGTTGAAATGTGAGTGGATTCTGCCTCAACTGTGCCTTGCTGCCACAATGATTTTTGGACAGAGCCCTTCACTTCTCTGAGCCACGGTGTCTCCATCTGTTAAAGTCATTGACTTGGCCTGAAAGGAGCTCCAAGGTTCTTTCCCATTCAGATTTTCTATGATACTGTAGCCCATGGATTCACTCCAATCTAAGTTGGGTCCTGGAGATTCAAACCAATGTGGTACTCTTCCTGAGTCCCCAGAACATTTCTCAGGGTTCTGAAAAGACTCAAGAGGCTCCTCTGCCAAAGACTGTCCATGCTGTAATTTAAGGCCAGGACTTCCTGAGACTGTCGTTAGAAGTCCCTGATCCTGGCCTCATTTCTTTTTTTTTTTTTTTTTTTTTTCTTTTTTTTTTTTTGAGACGGAGTCTCGCTCTGTTGCCCAGGCTGGGGTGCAGTGGCCAGATCTCAGCTCACTGCAAGCTCCGATCCTGGCCTCATTTCTGCTGCCTCCTTAGCTTTACAAAGGGCCTTCCTAGTAGGGAATGATGTCTGTCCAGACCATCAAGGCTTGTGGTTGGAGCTGCCATAGAGATGACCTAGTGTAAAGATCCTACATCTGTGTCTCCAGTGATGAGAGAAGTGTCTAATAAGGCATCTATCCTGCATTTCTCTCTCAGTGCATTTCCTTATTAGAGTAGAATAGTTGAAACTTATAGGATTGTAAAACAGATAGTTATAAAAGCAACCTGTCATTTATATACACTACATCAAAAGAAATTAAAAGTGTGGTATTCAGGGAAGCTTAGCTTTAAGGATTCAAACCCAAAGTTTAATCTGAAGAGTGTTTTTAGTATGCTGTTATATCTGGGTGATTCCACCAGGAAGACCTGAGGTCAAGTATTTTTTCGATTAATTGTTTTAGGGTAGAAAACAGAAAGCACATTGAAAATTCAGCATTTGCCCTGCCAGCATGTGACACAGTAGGAAATGGTTGGGACTTAGAAGTAGGATAAGAGACATGATTAATGATTCTGTAGGTTTGACAGTAGATTTTCTAATTCAGACCACTCATCCCCACCGTGAGCACCAAAGGAAATCTTTCTTCCATTGACCATTAAGCCCTGGCCCGACTGAGACTTTCCTATATAACCTTTGTGATGGTCACCTCGGGCTTCCCTGGAAGAGGATCAGGTTCCAAAAGAGTTCTCTGATCTAGTTTTATCAGAATGTCGGAATGGTGGCGTTTCCAGAGCAGTCCCCGGGTAAGGAATTGGGAATGGGAGTGAAAGCTTGTAATAAGTGCGTGGCCAGCTGAAGCTTTTGGGAACACAGAAGGAAGGATGAGTATTGGAAAGGGTGTGAAGTATTAGTAAAAGCACTGGTGTCATGACGTTGAACACTCTTTTTCTTGGCTCATAAGGATAGATATGCATGTTATCTTCATGCACTACTCGTAACGGTGGCTGTGCCTTGCACATTTTGTTGTTGGTCTTTTAATGATGAGACTAGAATGAAGCAAGAAGATAACATTCCTGTTTTAACGAAAATTCACCAAATAATCCACAAGAAAATAAACTTCACCTAAAAGTTCCCAGACGATTGTATCAAAGACCTATACGAAAGAGCTAAAACTGTCTGTAAAACTCTTGAAAGAAAATAAACATACAGGGAAATTTTCATGGCTTGAATTTAGCAATGTTTTCTTAGATATGATACTCAAAAGCTCGAACAGCAGAAGAAAAAACAGATAAATTAGACTTCATCAAAATTAAAGTTTTGTGCATCCATGAACACTACCGAGAGCATGAAAAATAACCCATACAATGGAAGAACATATTTGTAAATCATATACCTGCTAAAGGTCTGGTATCCAGAATATACAAAGAACTCCTATAACAAAACAATGAAAAGACAACCCGATTACAACATGGTTAAAGTACTTGAATAAACATTTCTCCAAAGAAGATAAACAAATGATCAGTAAACACAAGATGCGCAGCATCATTAGTCATTAAGACAATGCAGATCCGGTGGCTCATGCCTGTCATCCCAGCACTTTGGGAGGCCAAGGCGGGCAGATCACGAGGTCAGGAGTTCAAGACCAGCCTGGCTAACATGGTGAAACCCCATCTCTACTAAAAATACAAAAATTAGCCTGGCATTGTGGCACATGCCTGTAGTTCCATCTACTCGGGAGGCTGAGGCCAGAGAATCACTTGAACCTGGGAGGCAGGGGTTGCTGGGAGGCGAGATCATGCCACTGCACTCCAGCCTGGGTGACAGAGCGAGACTCCATCTCAAAAGAAAAAAAAGAAAATGCAGATCAAAGCCACAATGAGATACCATTTTTTATCTACTAGGATAGCTATTATAAAGTAGAATAAAATAGCAAGTATTGGTGAAAAGGTGGAGAAATTAGAACCCTCATACATTGATGGTGGGAATATAAAATGCTACAGCCACTGTGGAAAACAATTTGACAGTTCCTCAAAAAGTTAAAACAGGCCAGGCACAGTGGCTCATGCCTGTAATCCCAACACTTTGGGAGGCCGAGGCGAGTGGATCACCTGAAGTCAGGAGTTTGAGACCAGCCTGGCCAAGATGGTGAAACCCCATCTCTACTAAAAATACAAACATTAGCTGGGCATGGTGGTGGGAGCCTGTAATCCCAGCTACTTGGGAGACTGAGACAGAAGAATTGCTTGAACCCAGGAGGCTGAGGTTGCAATGAGGTTGCAATGAGTCAAGATCATGCCATTGCACTCCAGCCTGGGCAACAAGAGAGAAACTCGGTCTCAAAAAAAAAGTTAAGACAGAGATTACCATGTGGTAACTCTGTGTGGCCTTGGGCAAGTCGTGTAAACTTTCTGGACCTAGGAAGAAGACTTGGATAAATCCCTTAATTCTGGGTAGGAGAAGGTCTCGATCACATGTGGGGCCTTTTCAAGCCTCATGGATCTTCCTTCACCCTGGCACCTTACTCGAGTGAAGGGGAGAGTATTTCAAAGGAAATGTTCTTCCCCAGGACAAGGAATGAGCTGGCAGACACAGGGCATGGAGAGTGTGATGGCACGGTCCCTGGTAGAGCCTTTGTAATATTGTTTAAAGTCCTAGTGCTGATTCTGATGAGCCTCATGCCCCTCAGAACTGCAGGCAGTAAACTCATTCATTTCTTCATACACCTACCACCAGCCAATAGTTATGGGGTGTGCCCCATGCTGTGTGAAGCATGGTGCTGGAAGACAGGGAGCCCCAGAATCCAGGGAGCTGATGTTTCAGAGGGAGGAGATATTACTGGAGACTTCATTATTGAGTTGCAGTCGTGGCGAGGGCTCTGAAGAAGTGGAGGCTGCTGTGGGCAAGCACTCCAGGGTCAGGGCGGCTGCTCTGAGGAAGCTGTGGATCAGCTGCTGTCTGAAGGATGACTTAACTAGGAACTAACTAGGAATGAATTCAGGAAATTAACTAGCAAAACCAGGAAAGGTGCAGATAGCGTTCCTGGTAGAGAGGGAACAGTGAGGAGGAAGGGAGAGTGGGCTTGGAGAAGAGACTGCGGAGAAGAGCCTCATTCCAGGATGTCACAGTGACACCTCCTCTCAGGTTGACATCCTTGAATTGTAGAACCAAGAGAAGTGATCTCCCTGAGACCACAGGTAGGCACTTTCACCAGCATCCACTGCTTCTGTGTCCCCACCAACCCACATCCTACGCTCTTGGCTGTGTAGCCAGCAGGAAATATGTAGTATCTCTGGAACTTAAAATGCTCCCCCGAGTCGGCTGTGACCTGAAGCCACTGCACCTCGGAACTTCTTTAATCTGCACAGCACATGGCAGCGTGAGTGACAGAACGAGTGACCCAAACGTGACGCCCCACATGCCAGGCCAACATCCAGAGGATGTTTCTCTTTTTGGTCTTTCAGTTTTCTGCCCATCAAACCGGTAAACCAAGGCTCTGAGGACGGTGGAACTACCAGACTTTTACTTAAGCAGCAGCACTCATTGTGGTACTTGGTAGGCCCACCGCGTGTATTTGGTGGATAAATTGGATCGACTGTTGTAGTGGAGGCCACAGTTTCCGCACGTTAATGGCGCCCAAGGTGGATGGAGCTCATACCTGCAGGTCACGTTCTGTGCCCCTAGGAGCCCATCCCGGGTAAGGGGTGTGGTTTCAGGGGCCACAGTTGAGCCTCTCGGGTGTGTGCGTGGTGCTCCAGCTGGAGAAGGGGGAGCAGCCACAATGGGAGCTGGCTGTTAGGGAAAGAGCCTGTCTGCCAGTCCCAGGTCAGGCATCCCCTCAACCTGTAACTCGATGAATTTTTTTTGGCGCGGGGGGCCACTCATTTGGAATCTTGCATGTCTTCTGTGTGGTCATCGATCTATTCCATCAGGCTTAATTTTTTTTTCTTTGCTTTCAGGAGAGTAGATCTGGAGAAACCAACAGCTGTGTTGAAGAAATAATCCGGGTAAGATAATTCTTTAAACAATCTTACCAGTCTGTGGGACATAGACTCTAAATGGGAAGGAAACCTGTGGCTCCATGATAAAGGAGCCCATAGTTTGTTGTTTGACGTGTACGTTTTCTGAGAGTGGTCATATAAGTTTTTGAAGCAACACTTCTGTTAGCAATCTAGCAGCTGTACCCCCTCTGGGCACCTCTGCACAGGCTGAGGTGACACCCTATTAAAGTGATCAGCTGGAAGACAGAAGGAGAGAATTTAGATGAAAAATATGCTGGTGCTCGCATTTGGATGCCCCATTTATCACCCTGCTGTTTAAAAGCATCCTTTAATAGTCTGTACTTTTTTTGAGTCAGGCAGGGGTTGCCTGGTTATTTTTCCTGTAAACTTAATTGGAATCAGAAGCACTTGACAAAGAGGTAATGTTGAGGATCTGGAGCTCTTATTTCTCTGTTGTTCCACATGTTATTCGCCCTGTCACCCTCTGCGAGCCTGTCCTTTTCATCACCGTTGTGGCTAGTGCGGGTTCCCTCCCTGAACCAGTTTCGTGCCCAGCTTGACTTAGGTTGAGCTGTTCTGCCACATCAGTGTTTTCCCAAATATTCAGACACATAATCAGGATGTCGTCATCAACCCATATTTTCCTTCACTCATATTTTTTCAGGGGAGTTACCTAATAATTTATAGTTCTCAAAAAGCTGATACTACACTGGGCAAAACACCAAGACAAATTAGGCCAGATGGTATGGAATTTCACTGTTAAAAGAAAAAACTTTATTTTCATTTAATATGGTCCTTTCTTTTGGACATCCTACGCACTTTTTTTTTTTAATGCTGGTGAATTACAGTAATATAATTACTTGGGTTAAAATTTTACATTCACAACGATTTTAAAAAGCAGAATGTTTTTCTTTCTGGAAAGCATTATTTCATAAATAAGTCGCACATTGACCAGAATAACTAATTGAAGTGTGATTTGTTGAATTCATAATGATTTTTTTTTCTGGCAGAGATTTATAGAGAAAGCAATTGTCAAAACAGGCAGCTTCATTTCTGGTATTTAAGTATATGTTAAATAAAATACATAGTCTATTTTATATCTATATTGTCTCTATTCTGGGACTTTGTTTCCAGTTAAAGAACAATCAACATAAGATGCTGATATAACTTTTCCTGTTTCTCTCTTTCAACATACTTTCATGTTTGCAGTTCACGTATTCCATTTTTAAGCCATTTTCCTTTGATTGGTTATGGTGTTTATGTCCGCAAAAAGGTAATACCACAACACACCAATCCCCTCTTTGGTTTCCCTAAGTAGAAAAATTCTACCTTCTTATTCTGTCTTGGCCCTTCTGAGGATATGGAAGAAATCCATCCTTTGATGTTCCTATTCTGTTTTCCATACAAGGCTTGAAGTTTGAATAAAGACTTGAGTAATTTACACACCAAAAGAATAGAGTTTAGGTAAAGCAAAATTCAATTTGAATAAAACTGAGTGTCACAATCAATAGCTCATTCAGCTTTACACTTATTGTTTTCTAAAGAGAGCTGATGAGAGCCTCATGTCCCCTCACCCCAGTCCTCCCCTCTCCGCCCTCCCACCGCCAGTGCTGCACCTGTACCACACCCTCTTCAGATGAGCCCTGAAACAAAGGGAGAACATGGACCCACCGGATCACTGATTTGTGTCCATATGCAAGGCTGAAGTTTGCATGTGTGTGCAAGAGGGCAGTGGAGATGGTGGCTGGATCAGGAGGCAGCTGAGCTCCAAATTCCACTCTTCCTAGCCCATGAGCAGCAGTCAGGAGGGGAAGTGGGATGGACAAGGAGGAAAGAGAGATGATGGTGGCACTAGTTGAGCCTGGAGCTTTTTACTCTCTCTCCCTACTTGTCAGCCTAAGGTGTCAGTAGTAGTAGTTGGTATCTGGGGAGCTCCTAGGGGATCGGGTTAGTGTTCCCAGTGTTTCCTGGAATGGCTTTCTGTCTATGCCTGCATCACTGACATTAGTCATTCTCCAAGATCATCTACCCCTCTTAACCTCCAAACACAAGCATAGGACTCCTTCTTGGTTACCGCCCATAGTATTTGTTGTGTATCTGTCACACACCAGCCTTCCTCCAAGATTGTGGCCCCAAGGAGAGGGAAAGCCAGAGTGGTTGGTGAATAGGTAGATAAAGCTAAGTGGCAGAGGCAGAAGGAGCTAGGTCATAGATCCTGTAAGATGCAGATCAGCTGAGCATTTGAGCAGAGTGATGTGATCACATTAGCAGTTTAAATGCACTACTCTGGCTGCTATGGAGAGAGGATCCACGGGGAAAAGGAGAAGCAAGAAGGAGTGGGAGGCTGTTGCAGGAGTCCAGACCAGAGATGCTTGGTGGTGCGCTCACGGCCATGGGAAACATTAGGGGAGATCCTGGCTTGTGGGAAGGGTGGAAATCATAAATTCATTTTTAGACATAGTGAGTTTGACGTGGCTTTGGGACATTCGAGTAAACCACAGAGAACATAGAACAACCTGTTGGAGGTCAGGAGGTCAGAGCAGAGGTCTGAGCTGTTAGACCAACATTTTGGATTAATTAGCATGCCATTGGTAATAACACCATAGAAATAGGTAAATTTTTCTGGAGAGAGACTAGAGACCCAGGAACGGTGAGAATCTAAATTCTGACTTTTAGAGACCAAGGGAAGGAATAGCGGCTGGCAAGTGGAAGTGAGAGAGAGTGACAAGAAACGTGGAGGGAAAATTATGACGGTGAAAAGTCGTGGAATCCAAGGAATGGGATTCAAGCTCAGTGGTGTTCAGAGTTTCTGAGGACGAGAAAGATGAGGATCTAAAACCACGCGATGGATGAGAGCCTAGAAACATTGCTGGTGACCTTTGCGAGTGCCCTTTTTGTGGAGTAGAGGGGGCAGAAGCCACACTAGAGAAAAGAGAAAATGCAGTCAGTGAATTTAGAGACCTCTCGGGAGGAAAGGCTGTAGCTTCCCTTCAGCTCCCTTTCCAATTGCCGTGCGTCCCTCATACAGTAACCACCACCAGGCGATGAAGAGCTGATGTTGACTGAGCGTGCATTGTGTGTGAGGCACAGTTCTAAGCTGTGATTTAACCCTCACAGCTGCCTCATGAGGTCAGCGTTGGTAACATTCCCATTTTACAGATGAGGAAACTGAAGTGAGGATGAGTTAGACACAGCTTGCCCAAGGTCACACAGCTAGCAAGTGGCAGAGCTGGGATTCTAATGAGGACGCCTTGCACAGCAACCTCTCTTAACTATCGTGCTGACTTACTAGAGGAAGACGTTCCCCTGGCTCTTTAACAAAACCACTCAGGCAATTCGTCGTGAACGGGAGGTTTCCCGTTTCTACCTGTTTATGATTCGAAAGTGCCAGATTATGCATTTAGGCACTTAAATTCAGAGGTTTTATAGCCATGTTATCAACCTCATCTTTAACTTGTTCCTCTCTCCTCCTTATTTTTGCTGAGGTGACTGTTTTCAAGTCATTTGAATATTACATTGTGTTCTAACATATAATTATTTTTTATCCTTACTCAGAGAATTTTAATCCTGGGACCTAATAAATCTGTGTGTTATTGCAAATTTCTCTTAACTGAGGGAGAAATTAAAACAGAGTTCTGTGAGGATGGGCGATCAGGGCTAGAAGCCTTCATGGCTGACATATGTTTGTAACAAGCAGTTTTCTAAGTTACACTCTATTTCATCCTTAAAGGTTCCAGTGCTGTAATACTTAGGTGCTTTTCATAGCATTATCCATTAACGTAGAATGGCATTAACATTTGTTCAGCAAATAAAATTGGTTTACAACTTAATGGGTAGGGGTGCAGGGCTGGAATCTAGGATGTGCAGGTTTTATGCAAGGCAGCTCTACATGGCATTTGTTGAAGACACACATAACATAGAGTGCCTTTGCAATAAGAGACCAGTGTTTGAGATTCTGGTTTGGAGTTAAGGAATTAATTTAGAGACAATTTCAGTGCAACATCTGAGCAGATTACTTTCTTGGCTGTCATCATCTTCGGCCACTAATTTAATTCCAGTGTGCTGCAAAATATTCTTAGGGAACATTTACATAGAGTTGCATTTCTGTTTATCTGAAGGGGGTAAGGGGTACTTGTTTAAATTTTGGAGACCTCAACCAGTTTCCTGACATTATAGTGGGACACACTTGAGGCAAATAAAGTGAACTGATTTTTTCCTTGGATTTCCAGAAACTCAGGAGCATCCTGGGTGGGATGATTTCCAGTTGTGGTCCTGGGAGATGTGTGAGTTGAGGGCACTCACCTGGGAAATGCACATCATGATAGCCTCTCACATGTACAGACCCCCGGATGGTGGGACAAGAGAAGCCTTGTGCTCACAAATATCAATCAAATGAAAACCTACTTGCCATTCTATGCCTACCGGAAAGTAGAGGACAAAGAGATAACTTGTTTTCAGTGACCTATTTGGGGCCTCGTATGTATGTGGGCCGTTGGACTACACATTGTCATCTATATAGTCCGTTCACATTTTTGTAACATCATTATAGTTTTTTCTTCTTTTTATCTGAGTGAGCATTTTCAAAAAATAAGTGCTTAAATGTGAATCGCATAGAACAATAAGAACAAATTCTTATCTTTATCCATGAATGAGGTTTTCGATTGCAGTGTTTTTTAACTGTACAGAGTTGAAAAGGTTAATACGTGTCAACTCATAGTATCTATCAATACTTTCAAATGTGTAAATTCCCAAAACACTTAACTTATGTTCAATCCGGGTCAAATCTTCCCTGCTTCAGACCAGGCAGGCTTTTTTTCTCTTGCTCATACTGTTTCCTTTATAAGTTATTTCATTTGTTTCCAAGAGCAAAGATTTCATTAGTGATGAAATGAAGCCCACCAATGGCAAAATCAATCCAGGTGTAACTGTAGAGGTGCGCCATTAATATATCCCATTACTTGCTATAGTTAAATAAACTCAAAAGTCAGCACAATGGAGGGGTAGAG